ATGCGAATACTCGTATAAAGTGGAGAAAACCTCGCATAATAACTCTGGCAGTAGAACAGTCCGCTGCCATTATCCGAATAAACCTCCGAATGATGAAACACTTTAAAAATGCTTCTCCAACTTTAACTTAAATGAGAAAATAATGCAAACTGCCTCGCCCTTTCCCAGATCCGATGTAATTCTTATGTGATCATCACTCTAAATTACTGGACAATGTGCAAAAATATTCAGTAATTATTCCAATAATGCTGGAACAGAATAAACACAAATCACCGGATCTAACCACGGTTACAATGTGGGTTACAGTACAGTACAATTACAGTACGGATACATAAATTACTACTTTATCCCACTACTACTTTATCCTTTAAGTTACTTTATCCCAAACTGCAAGAAAGCCCCGCTTAATCTAAAATAAAGCGAGTGCTTTATAAAAAAAATGTTTTATGCTGCCTATCTCTACCCGAAAAAAAAAATCTCATTTAACGTGGACAGGAAGTCTGTATTTAGGCTTATCGAGGTTCACCCAGGTCAACTGCTGACCTACTCAAGGATGGTCAGCATCACTTGCCTGACTATCGGCTACTATTTGACTACCAAGTGAAAGGAAACGTGTCCAACAGTCTCTGTCCTGCCCGGGAAATGAACCTGGGGTCCTTCAATTGTGTGCCGAGGACGTAGACCACTGTGTCACAGGGCACTCAATATGTAGACACATCAGTAAACAACTAAAACAGATACAGTATACAATCACCCCTCATAAGATCAACATAAAACTTAATCAACTTCCACATATGAAGATATCTTCATTAGGGCTGATAACAAAACACACAATTTTCCTGTAATATTATCGGAAGTAATGACAAAAAAATTCCCTTTATCTGAATTATGACGCAATAAAGCATAAAACACCAACCTTATTGTTGATATAAGGGTGCCGTTTTCTTCACCAATTGACGTAAAATACCCGTTATATACTAATAAAAATCAAAATAACGAAGATATACGACCTCCCTTATCAGAGCAAACAGTTGATATAACAAGAAAATGTCCTTTGTTACTCATTCCCACGTCCTTGCCCGGAGTCATGTGAAACACACGCTATCCTATCCTTACCCACGGATAGGGAAATGATACACACTATCCCATCCTTGTCAGCAATGTGATAGAAAATGACACGTCCTAATCTATTCTTGTCCACTTTGACAGGAAAATGGCTCACTATCCTATCCTATCCCTGTCCGCTGTGATAGAAAAAAGGACATATACAATCCTATCATTATCGAGTGTGATAGGACAACTCTCCTATCCTTATCGAGTGTGATAGGACAACTCTCCTATCCTTATCGAGTGTGATAGGACAATGACACACTAATATATTTTTGTTCAAGATGAGATTCAAATGTAACACTCAATCCTATCCTCATCGTAACTTTTCAAATTTGCAAGACAAAAAAACGCAACTGTCTACTTTATCCAAATATCCTCCGAGGTAGTTACATAATACGACATAAAATCTCGCCCTATCCTAATATCCTTTATAATAGGGAGGCGCTGCCTATATCTAAATAGAACAAAACAATATTCTGTCAGCGATAGAACAAATATTCTATCAGCGATAGAACAAAACGATATTCTCCGAAATTATTAGAATATCAGTGAATTGTCAAACTCCTGTTTAAAACTAAAACTAAAACGGCACACTACCTTATCTTATCTGAACACTTTAGATTATAATATCCGAATACTATTATGAACGCAATGATCATAAAATTCCGATACTTATGCGAATACTCGTATAAAGTGGGGGATTGGATTGGATTTGATCTATCGCTGCACAATAGATACAATCCAAATATCCTTAATCATAGTAAACAGTGCCACTAACACTGCACCTGTATCCATATATCCAAAGACCCAGCAATCGACAGCCGTCTAAATAGAGATTCTTCAACCCGTCCTCCTAATACAGCGTCGCATTTTGACGTATACTCTAAGGCCAAAAATCATTGTATTAGAAAATGGCAGCGGCTCGCGGAATTGACATAATGGTCCGTTTTCTATTTTGGGTCCTCTGGTAAGTTAGGATAAGGCACTTTAGTGCGACAGTTTCTTGACGTTGGGAAATCTTAGGAGGACGGGCTGGACTCGTAGGGATTCTTATGCCCGAAACGCTTTGTGAATTAGCGCTTTATTTAATATGCATTTTCTGCAACAACTAATTAACCTTTGATTCATGTTCTTATAATAATAATTAAAAATACATATTATTATTAGTAGTAGTAGTACTAGTTATAAAATGAATGACGAGACAAAGAATTTATTTGTTAGTGTAGTGTAGTAGGTGAGTTTGGACGCCATTTTGCTCACATCTTCCGTCTCAGGAAAATCAAACCGGATATTTAAATGTGAAAAGACTTCTATTTAGTTGCCATAAACATAAAAATTATTGTTAATACTTTCATAATTTATATATATATATATATATATATATATATATATATATATATATATATATATATATATATATATATATATATATATATATATATATATATATATAGATATATATAAAATTTATATTATATATATAAATGCCTCTGAAAGTCACATTGATAAGAACGCAATAATTGCAATGGTAATGACGCAGTGGTTAACATGATAAGATATAAGGAAACAGGAACTGAAGAAACAGTATAGGACCTGCTGCCCTGTGCGAGGTAGCTCCTATTTCTACCAAACCACTCTGGTTGGTTGCTTCTGCTGCATCATGCCCGCGATGCCCCAGCCTCTGGTGCATCATGCCCGCGATGCCCCAGCCTCTGGTGCATCATGCCCGCGATGCCCCAGCCTCTGGTGCATCATGCCCGCGATGCCCCAGCCTCTGGTGCATCATACCCGCGATGCCCAAGTTCATCAACAGTAGGCATTTAATTACCAAACACACATATATTGACCCTTGCTGTTGTGAACTAACGCTATGGTGAATTAAGCAAAGCCACTGCCGTCGAAATATACAATAGGCGTAAGCAGTTATACCTCTCGGCCCAACTGTAAGTTTTCGTGCTTATGAAACAGCAGCACTTCCAGAATGTCATGATCTCACTATAACTTATAATACTGACAGTTTGGCGGGCAAAGGAAAGCTTACTACTTGAAAGTTTATTTCATGATGATCATAAGGAAACTATTGCTGCTTTTCCCAACTTTGGTGTTGATGAAATGACAAAAGAAGGACTAATTTTTAAACAATTGACTGGTCAAGTGCTCCTTCCCAACACTGAAACAGAATGCGCAACACCTGAGATTATGACTCTTAAGAAGCAGACCTAATGTGTGCAGCTGCTCACAAGATGCACTACTTTATGCAGTAATTCAGGTCCACTACCAGGTGATCATATGGAACACTGTGGCCAACCCATCTTACCATCTCCATAAATGTATGGGTCTGAGGGAAGTGATGAATAAATACCTGTAATAACACAGCCTACATCACCAGATGCTGTGGTGGCCTACTACACACTCACTTCGCGATAATAAAGAGGAAGATGTTGGAAAGAATATCGTTATTGCTGTAAAAGATGACCTTAATTTCTAGAATTCATGAACATTACTTTAACTTATGAGTTTATACAACAAGCATCAGAATACTTTCCTTTCCCCCGACGATGTTGTATTCTGCACTACAACTATATTTTCAGTGTTACCTTACCCTGCATTAGCTCAATTCGATCCCAATATGAAAACACCTTTTTTTTCCCTAACTGCATTTAAGATGCATTAAAAATACATCTGAAATTGGATATTCACCTAAGGCTGATATGATATGCAGTAATATTGTATATCGATGTTTAATTGTACATTACATCATCTATTTTAAGTGTTCGTGAAATTGATGACTATTTTATATTGCCCAGATGACATAATAAGCCTCGTTTTTTAATTAATTAGTCATGAAGTGTACTAAAGTACACTTGTTATTTGCTTCAAAATAATTTATTGCGCAAAATTATGACAATTAATAATGTCATTCCGTTAGTTACTCTTAATCTTTTTTTTTAATGAACATGTTTTTTCTAAGAATATTATTGAATAGTTTCGATACCAATTTTAAATTTCAAGTGTGTCGTTAATTTTAATTGGGCATGTAGAAATTCGCAACCACTTTAAAAAAAAAAAAAGTTACGGAATGAATTTAAATATACTTTGCTAAATATTATTAGTTTGGGTGTTATCTACATGTTATTTTGTTTACAATTTTGTGTACCCCCTTTAATAGATCCCATTCTGGGATGTGCGACAAATTACGAATGGTGTACGGAAATTTGCATCCAATTTTTCACCAAACCAAAATAGTGTGCGCAATAATCTGAACCCATTATTGTAACGAGAACAAAAATTGGATCGCATTTATTTCCGTTTTCGACGAGCAATAAACGACTGCTCTATGGCGCTGTTCAATAATTCAGTGAGTTTCTTTTTAACTGTATACAAAAAAATCGCGTGTAAATTACCGCTTTATATTTTACACCAAATTCAACAATTTACGTCGATTAAATGGTTCAAATTCATTTGAATTAATAATCCAAAACTTTAATGTAAACTATTTAATTTTCCTAGACTATTTTCAACAAGGGAAAATTGGCAGATCTTATAATTATGCAAAATTTTTCTACCCATCCGACCATTTTATTAAACACCACAAAATTCAGTAATCGATGCAATGAAAAATAAATAATCCTGTTCCTCTCTCAGTCTTGTACACACACACACACACCCACACACACACACACACACACACACACACACACACACACACACACACACACACACACACACACACACACATTCATTAAACACTAACACAACAATCTGACGAGCAGAGCACAGATATCAGAAGACTTTTTTAGTTCATACAAAGTTCATCTGCTCGGACAACGACACTGCAGCATCGAAAACAACGACTATAAGAATGCAGAAGAAAGAACAAGACCACAAGAATGCAGAAGAAAGAACAAGACCACAAGAATGCAGAAGAAAGAACAAAACCACAAGAATGCACAAGAAAGAACAAGACCACAAGAATGCGCAAGAAAGAACAAGACCAGAAGAATGCACCAGAAAGAACAATACCACAAGAATGCACAAGAAAGAACAAGACCACAAGAATGCACAAGAAAGAACAAGACCACAAGAATGCACAAGAAAGAATAAGACCACAAGAATGCAAAAGAAAGAACAAGACCACAAGAATGCAAAAGAAAGAACAAGACCACAAGAAAGAACAAGACCACAAGAATGCACAAGAAAGAACAAGACCACAAGAATGCACAAGAAAGAATAAGACCACAAGAATGCAAAAGAAAGAACAAGACCACAAGAATGCAAAAGAAAGAACAAGACTATAAGAATGCAGAAAGAGGATTGAACCCCCCTCCCCCAATCCCTATACCAAAAAAAAAAAAGGAAACTTATCTTAACAAAGAGACTGGACAGACCGTCAACATGCAGCCAAAAAGCAATCTATACTTTAACGCAATTTGTCCCTGATAAATGAGTCTATAAATTCAATGGATCTTAAATTAGTCTGAAAATGTGTTGCCAGGTATTTATAATTAATGAAGGAATGGGAGATACCGAACAGTTCATTAAGGCAGTAAGTCTCGTTTTTAAAGGCCCTTAATGACGACCTTTGAACCTCGGCAGAATGCCTTCGAGAACCCATCAAATCATTTAATGTGAAAATAATCCATCGATAGCAGCATAGGTTTCTCGAGCATGCAGTGATATTGCGATTCTTATCATTCATTCTTCTTCCCTTTCTGGTTTTCCATCGTCTTCTGGTTTTTACCTTCTCTCGTCCATCTTCTGCTTCATCGTCTTCTCCTTTGTCTTCTGCAATTTCTGCATCTTCGCCTTTGTCTTCTGCAATTTCTGCGTCTTCGCCTTTGTCTCCGCGTCTTCTATTGCATCTCTTCCTTTGTTACACTTTTCATTTTCTTCTCTTTCGGCTTTCATCATTATCTTCATCGTAATCGCCTCATCATATCTAGCTTCCTTTGCGTCGTCTTCTCGTCTTCTACATCTTTCATTATATGATTTCTTTCGTTCTTCTTTTACATCCCCTTCGTCATCATCAGCTGACTGCGGTAAATTTCTGCCCAAGCAACAACTATCTCACATTTCAAAGCCTGAGGAGCGGATACAAGCGCGTCTCTCGTTGTAAGTATACAGGGGGCGGCTCTAAGCAACCAGTGTTGTATCGTTCTAAACACTTAATAAATACATTAATACAAGATACGTGGCGTGTAACTTTCGAGGAGAAATATACAAGCGCTCTTCACGACGACTTGAGTTGTATTATTTGGCATATGGATAACTTGAGTTGTTTTATTGAGGAATGTGGATCATTTGTGGTGTAGTATGGAAAATATGGGTTATATGAGTTACCTTACTGCGGATATTTTGTGACTTTATCCGGATTATTGGGAATACTGATGTAAATATATTTTGTAGGCATATATGTATTTAGCAAAATAGGCCTCAAAAAATTATACGCAAGTATGGAATTGTTGTAATGTTATCAAATCCTGGTAAATACTTTTAGTCAGGAAGTAAAGCATATCTGAGTTGACAATATAAAGAACATACCTAGTCTGTTATTAGTGTAGAAGTGCACCATATTTTTGTTATGTTCTCCCGGTTGTTCATACTACACACTTAAATGAAAGAATACTAGTAGAAATTTGATGAGAGAGAGAGAGAGAGTCATCAGGGAAAAGCGCCAAGCCATTACGGCTATATAGCCCTTGGATAGGGTCAGGATACGGATTTGGGATGAGAGAAGGGGGGAGGGAAGGAAGGGTGCCCAACCACTTGGACGGTCGGGGGATTAAACACCGACCTGCATGAAGCGAGACTGCCGCTCTACCGTCCAGCCCAAGTGGTTGGGCAGAGAGAGAGAGACTGAGAGGAGAACTTCATTTGTAATAATCGATGTTTTAGAAGCATCTGATCAGTTTAAATACCTGGAGTGTGTAATTAACAAAAGAAGAGTTAGTACACAAGACTGGGTGAGAGTACAGCAAGCAATGAAAGGAGAACAGCTGGTGCAGTGCAACACAGGACACGGTGGGAAGAGGCGCCACGAGAGGCCTGCAGGAATGAGTAATAGCGCCTACTCTTGTGTATGGTGGTGAGATGCCAGTGCGAGATGTATATATGAAAATGTCTATACTTAGAAGGGAAGAAATGGAGTCATATATACGGCACATTTAAGGTGTTAAAAGAATATGGTAAAGGCGCCCTGGCAACATATGGAGTGCAAATAACAGTAAATCATAAGAGTGAAGAAAGTGTACTGAGAAGTTTGCTCAGACTAAATGAATGGAAAATGATATAGTAGCGGTGAGAGGAGGGGGAAGGGGGTTATTCAAGTGAATCTGAGGGTAAGATGAGAGGAAACCCAAGGTGGTGGTTGTTGTTATAGATTCAGCTACTCGAAACAAGTTCCAAGTAGCACGGGCTATGGTGAGTCCGTAACTTACCTGGCACAGGAGCGGGGCAAGTAGCATGGGCTATGGTGAGCCCGTAATGGATTTACCTGGCATAGGAGCGGTGCTGTTTGCCTCCTGAAACCCTAGGATATGGATACACACTGTGAGTGTGAGCGAGCGACGAGTTAGTGGATATAAGTGGACACTTTGAGTGTGAACAGTACACCAGAACCGGTTGACATTAAGTTGGAGTCTCCTGTTATGGAGTGATTGCATAACACTGTTGACAAGACAAGGCCCGAGGAGCGCTTTACATCTAGTCGTATAAAGCTATAGAATACTGATGACGGTGAATTGTTGCGATGTGAAGGTGCTCAGACCACGCTATGGTGCTCAGTTAACGGGATGGTGCTCAGTCTGTGATGGTGCTAAATCTGTGATGGTGCTCAGTCTATGTGATGGTGCTCAGTCAACGTGATGGTGCTCAGTCTATGTGATGGTGCTCAGTCTATGTGATGGTGCTCAGTCTATGCGATGGTGCTCAGTCCACGTGAAGGTGCTCAGTCCACGTGAAGGTGCTCAGTCCACGTGAAGGAGCTCAGAAACGAAAAACACGGTGCTGAAGAAAATTATTTGAATTGTATTATTAGATAAACGGATGCAAGTTATGTTACTGGGACTATAGATGACTGGTATTACTGGACGTAAGATAACTTGTATATTGTGATGACGCGAAGTGCAAAAAATACATACGACTTTGTGTATAATATTGAGTATATCAAAATACAAATTATGACATATCACTCCATAAGAACACAAAAAATCATCGATGTCGTAAATTCAACACTCATAAATTATACACCTCCCGTATAATTAATATAAAAATATATGTTATCAGGCTGATATATCGGACCAACCTGTATTCAAACTTGATAAAACACACTATGCATTATCTAGAAAATACACCACCCACGAGTGCATATACTTTATACAACACAATCTGAAAGTAATATCAGTACACGCTACATAAGTGTGTATATATTCTTAACAAACTACACAATACAAAACCCCCAAGACTATACACCAACACATTCCACAAATGCGTAAATATTTTATGCACATTACAAATAACCCCAAAATTATACACCGATACACCTTCCAAAAGTGAATAAATACTTCACGCGCTACACTGCACTATACTTGATTCCAAAACTATACATCAATACATTACTTTGCATACTCTCCCTATTACCCGCTAACACATCAATACATTACATTGCATACTCTCCCTATTACCCGCTAACACATCAATACATTACATTGCATACTCTCCGTTACCCGCTAACACATCAATACATTACATTGCATACTCTCCGTTACCCGCTAACACATCAATACATTACATTGCATACTCTCCGTTACCCGCTAACACATCAATACACTACATTGCATACTCTCCGTTACCCGCTAACACATCAATACATTACATTGCATACTCTCCGTTACCCGCTAACACATCAATACATTACATTGCATACTCTCCGTTACCCGCTAACACATCAATACATTACATTGCATACTCTCCGTTACCCGCTAACACATCAATACACTACATTGCATACTCTCCGTTACCCGCTAACACATCAATACATTACATTGCATACTCTCCGTTACCCGCTAACTATGAGCGTAGTATATTATGATGACCTTCCCAAGTGAATAAGCGATGTATCCACCAATATTACTTATGTATGATGAATGTATATCTAAAGCATATTGAACTGTATCAGTGTTGCAGTAAGCAGTACACAAATAAATTTCTTACAATAATAAATAAATAGTAATGAAACGCACAAACAAATTGATTGTAACAACATGTACTAACACGCACAAATAAATTTATTGCAACAAGAACTACCGAGACGTACAAATAAACTGGATGAATATGCTGCAAATGGCAGTACCAAGACACAAATAAATCTATTACATCAAGTACCGAGACGCTCAAATAAATCCACGAGCTGATCCAAGTCGCACGCATAACGCACAAACAAATCAACAATAAACAGCACTATGAAACTTCAAGTAGCGCGCAAATAAATTTATTACAAGTAGCAACACTAGGGCGCCCAAATAGGTCCTGCCGGGCATAGTGGCTGTTGACAAACACGGAGGAATGTGAGAGAGCAACTGTAAGACTCTGACTGAGGAGCTGATTTCAAAATGGCCGTCTTGGGCGCCATAGTTCGAGATTAATCCTTTTTTTGTACAAAGGTTGATAGTACTATGATTACGTTGACTATGATTGATGGTTGCGATAAAACGGGTACATTTGGGGTTAAACGAAAAAAATAATTCCTTAACACAGAGCACATCGTTGAAGAAAAACAATCTCTTGGACTTCTGTAGTAGCGAAAATTTACCTGTGAAAATATAGTACGAATGAAAAATATTCTCTAAATATGAGTAACAAAGTGTAAACATTCCGTTACATTTATGATGTTAGTATCAAGAAAACTCGGCGTTTAGCTAAAAGTTCATTATACAGATATGCAGGTATAGCAAAACAAAATTCCTGTGTACATACATCAATAGCGAAAACTGGCAAAGACATTAACAACAAATTAACAACAAATCCGTGCACTGATACCGAAACTACAAATAAAACTGAAGCATTTCAGGACAATTTCATGCGAAAATTACTCGACATTCGCGCAACGAAAAATCAGCTATAAACTCTCCGCTCAGATACATCCGCAAAGAAAAATTCCAGACAAATCTTCAACAAAAAAATTCCGAACGACAACATTTCCCTTACACGAAGTAGCAACGAATAACTGAATTATCGCCCCCCCTCTGTTACACCGCGGCAGTTGACAACGTGTGCCGCATAACGGCGACGCAGACCAAAC